CAAGCCCCCATAAAAAAAAAAATTTTTTTGGAAAAAAAAAAAAAAAAAAAAAAAAAAAAAAAAAGCATCCCACGTAACCCAGCATCCACATAACCCAGAATCCCACGTAACCCAGCATCCCACGTAACCCTTCCAAAGCTAAACAGAAAACACGCATTCTGAATTATTTAAGGGCTTATGCTCCCAGCGCCTGGTGCAGAGCCTGGGACATAGGGGTCAGTGCGAAGGAACTGAATATTAAATGAGCTCTGATTGCCCTGTCATTTTCCAGCCAGGACAGAGGTCACAAATTTGAAGTTTTTGTAAGTTACATGCATTTGTTCTTGACGATTATTTACGGATAAACGGGACTAACTATGTGTAACAACAATTAGTCCTAAAAGTGTTGCTGTTTGACAAGAGAGGGCTGTGGGATTTCAGGGCCTGGATCCAGAAGGGCTAGATCCGGCCCGGGTCTGGAGGCAGAGCATCAGGGTAAGGGTGGGAGGAGGCACATACTGCGTGACTCCAGAGGGATGGGTTCCAGAGAACTACTACTCCAAATTTTAGAGCCATCTGGTTCCTGGGGGAATGGGGGTGGGAGAGGGCAGGGAAGGTGTATAAACTAATTAACATTCACCTAGTACTTCACCTAAAACACCCTGGTGTGAGGAGGGTTCCCAAACAGACAGACCTTCAAGAAACCAGGGCTTAGTGGGCTCGGTTTTTTTCTCAAGTCCGCTCAACTGGCTGAAGGTGGAGCTGAGCTGGGAACCCAAAGAGCCTGGCCCACTGCATTGTGTCCCTTGTCCCCTGGCTGGCCTTAAGTGGGGTCCCCAAAGGTCTTCTTGCCTGGAGGCCTGGGGGGTGCATGAAAGAGGCTTCCCTTCCTCCCTCCCCCAGGAACCAGTTTCATGGCGGGGCACCCTTTCCCACCACCCTGCAGACAGGACCTGAGGGGCGTGGCAGGGACCAGAAGGTAGACTGGTGTCCTCAGCACTGGGAGGTGGGCATGAGTGAGGATGTCCCTGCTCACTCTTGGTGCTCTTGACCTTGAGACCTGTCCCCCTCTGCCTTGGACCTCACTGAGCCACCCCTGCATTTGTCACAGCCCCAGAAGCCAGCCCTCCCTGGCAGGTGTCCAACTGCCCTACTGCTGGGTCCCTTGTGGGCTGCGAGACTGCTCATAGCAGGGGCACTGGGGAAGGTACCCTGGCTACCCCAAGCTGCTGCTTGCATTGCCCCAACTTCCGCCTGTGCACGTCCTCTGTCACCGGCCTGGGTACTTCTGGGCCTTCATCTGCTGCCTCACTCTGCCTCCCCTTGCCCATCTGACTCGCTCGCACTTGGATTCCTTCCCTCCCTGAGGTCCTGCCTCTCTTCCCCCCCAGTCCTCAGCAGAGGAGAGTGCGCAGGCATCTCTGTGCTGCTCACCTGTCCCTTCCAGCCACGACTGACCTCCCGCTCTCATCCCCCATGCTCCGGTCCACGCATCCCCTCTGGGTCCTACACTTGCCAAGCTTGTGGCCAGCCTCACCACCTGCGCGCCATGACTGGGAAAGCAGAGCTGACAGGGTTCCTTCACCCCTAGAGCAGTATTATGGGAAAACTCAGGTCTCAGAACAGAAGTCTGAGCAGGCACCTGGGCTAGCCCATGGCATTTTCTAGGTCTCTGCATGGGCTCCAGTCTTGGAGCCAATCTCCACCTTGGAGTTCTACCTGACCCGTGCTTTATGGGAAGGCTCACCTGCTCATCCAGAAACACACATGCACAGACAAGCCAGCACATGGGGGAGGCTGGCGGTCTGGCATGGAGAGCTTCCCCAGCTTCTAAGGATCAGGCCTAGAAATGGGAACAGTGAGTGACTGGCTCCAGTGGGGAACGGGCACCTGTGCACGAACTCTCCCTGCACTGTTCACCCTAGGAAGCATCTGGCTCCCATCAAAAGGGGCAGAGTGCAAAGGGCAGGCAGCTCAGGGCCTCTGAGGGAGGTGGGTCTGGGCTGGGCAGAGCAGGAAGTCTCTTAGAGGGTCTCATGAGGACTTGTCTCTGTTCCATGTGATGGAAGGAAGGGCTTGATGTTCGGTCCAGTAAGGCCAGTGTTGGCCACCAATGAAGCCGGACCTGGGAGGAATGTCTCCATCTCTGTTGGCTGTTGGCGGAGACAGGGAGAAGTAAGGGGCAGAAAACACGTCTGAGAAGGTACCAGGACAATGGTTCTGTGAAGTCATGTGCCCCCACAACCCCACCAATTCATGGCACTGTGTGCTTCCCCTTGGCGTGTGCATGTGTGTACGCATACACACATGCACACACACACACACAGCAATCGCAGGGCTGTGCATGAAGACCTCTGCACCCACTCATCTCAAACAATGCGTGCCCTATAGCACAAGCTCAGGTCCCCCTGTGTAAGCCCCCAGACCACCACGCACAGAGCTACTCCCACCCGCCTGCAGCTGTCAGCAAGTGGCCCTCTCGAGTGTGTGTTAGAAACCTGGGGACTCTCAGCTCCTGCTTCTACAAAAAGCAGTCCCGCTGCACCGCCTAGAGCGGGCCCGCAGGGGCTGGGGGGGGGCGCAGCAGGTGCAGACCACGTCTGTGTATGTTTAGGGGTGGTCTCCTACTCAGGTGCTTTGTAGAGTCTGTCACCCCTTTCCCTGGCACTGCTGGATCTGCTGAGCTCTTTTTCTTTCTGCCTCAACTCTCAGCTTCCTTTCTGAAGTTGTACACTCTGACTGTGGAGGGGTCAGGACCTCAGGCCTGAGCCAGGATGCAGGGGAGAAGGTGGCGAACCAGCCCTGCTTCCGTCCTCCTCCCTCCACGGAAGCTTCTAAGGACCTTTTGCCACCCTTGCCACCTCTCTGCCCCTCAGCATCCCCTGCAGAGAGGCAGCCTGGGCCGGGAACAGAGTTAACTCGCCAGTGCCCAGAGTCGCAGAGCGGTGGGGATGGCTGCTGGGGAGCCGGGGTGCTCTGGGGTGCTAGCCTCTGCTTCCTCCCAGCCACCAGGAACCACCTGCTGAGGTGGCACGGGACCGATGAGGCTAAGAGCAGGACCAATTGTCAGACGCGGCTGGGAACCAGCTCTCCCCTTAACCCCAGTCGGGGCAGCGCAGCCTGTGCTCGGGTTTTGTCTTGCTGTCCCTGGGCAGCAGCGCCTGCCGGCCCGACTGGGTTCTCGGCCCCCTTTCCAGCTGCCCCCACTGAGCGCACTGCACACACACACACACACACACACACACACACACACCCCGCGCGCGCACCCGGGAGGACATGGCGTGGGTACTGATGGGGACGCATAAAGGGGCTCTGTGCGCGGCTGCTGCGCCCGCGGGGGGCGCGAGGCGCGGGGGGCACTGACCTGCGGCGTTGAGTCCGGATCGTCCCCGGCGCGGTCCATCGCGAGTGGC